ACACACACACACACACACACACACACACACACACACACACACACACACACACACAGTGCCTTAGAGAGTTTGAACAGGAGAAGCTAAGGATTGAACTACCAACCCAGCAAACCCACGATGAGTGCACAGGAGATAAAAACCAGCCTGCTCTGGTCCTTTCTGACTTTCTTACCCTCTTCTTGCGGATGGCCTTCCTCTTGGCCCTCCTCTGCCTTTTCTCCTGGGCTTGTTGCTGCAGCTGTGCAGGAGTCAGCTGGGCTTGATAGCGCTCTAGATCCACCTTGAACTGTTCCCGGGCCCGGAGAGAAGCTTCCTGAAACGGCTACCAAACAAAAGACTCGGGTCACAACAGAGAGGACTTTTCCACTTTCACCGCTGGTAACGCCGTGCTATTGTTACCTGTGTGCGACAAACACAACCTGACAGAAGCATATTTTCATTTATCACAGTTCCACGTGCCTGCCTCAAGCTACCGAAGCAGTTTATTAGGGATGCAACGGCTCGTGAGAAAAGCCCGACCCGCTCAGGTCACTCGAGTCTACTTTTCACTTTATGCCTTTGATGTTCTTCACATCTTCCTGTTTTATTTAATGAGAAAATGTTTGGAAGAATCACAGTAAATGTATAAATACAGTATAAACTTCAGGCTTTATATTCTAAACAGGCCCAAAAGTTCTGGATGACGATCAAGAAAATGTATTCTTTTAGTTAAGATGTAGAGAATGACTATCAATGTACTTCAGAGGAATTTAAGGAAACGACTTTAAACATTGTCGTGTGTGACGTGTAGTCCACGACCACAACCCGTGATGCTACGGCCCAACCATAGATCTGGTGAACTGTTGCACCCCTACAGTTTATACACACACAGAAATGAGATACCTGTTTCTGTTCTGGGCTCAGTGATCTCCACTGCTGGGCAATCGTCTTAATCAGATCCACTGCTTTGATTTCTGAAGAAAATAATGAGGAAATGTTTAATGACAACAAAAATGCATCACTAGAGGAAGGACAGAGAAACTGTGACTGATCTAGAGTGTCTCACAGAGCTGCTGCAGCCACACAGGCTCATTCACAAACTGTTCATACAGATCTGGGAAAGAGGGCCGAGCCGGGCAGCTGACAGACACCTGTGTTACATCTACAGCTCTGCACTGAAAGGGACTTTGGCCTTTAAAGGCAACAAAGTGCAGCACAACAATCTTCATAACCTCGTTTTCATGGTTGTTAGAAAAACTCACTGAAAGTAACATCTGCTAGTGTGGGCCTGGTCTACTCTACACACCCAGACTCTGACAATTAGCCACAATTCACAGTTTAGTTTTCCATTGTTGTCCAAGACAACACTAGGTCTGCTCAATTAATCGATTTTAATCTCGATTACGATCTGGGCTTTCAACGATCATTAAAAATGACTGAGCCGATTATCAGCCCCTCCCTCGCGCTTTACTCTCGCGCTGTTCCGTGTGGCAAATCGAGCGCACCGCTCTGCATTTCGAACACGTGTCACAACAATTAAGAGGACCCGAGGGAAGCTCGGAAAGCTCAGCAGAAGTTATTTGGAGAGGAGAGTGACTGCCGTTGGTTGAAAAGAGGTAAAAAGCTTCAGTGGTGTGGAAACATTATGGGTTCAGTCAGATGTGGGTCAAGTAGACACAGTGTGTAAACTTTGCTACAGTGTCGTAGCTGCACCACAGAGCAACACTGCAAAGTTCACTAAACATAGATGTTTACATTTTTCATTTATTTCTTATATTGCAAACATTTGCACTGTTATCAGTATTTGCACTATTTTATATTATTTTTTAAAGTCATTATTCAACACATTGTTATTGTTAAGCTTTTAAAGCCGGTCAGAGCAGCATGCTCCGTTTTGTGTAACTATTTTTAAATCCCTGTAGAACCTGAACCGTGTAAGCTAGCGCAATAATTTGTTTTGCATATGAAACCGGAGGAGTTATACTTACATCTGATGCCATCAGCTTGTCCTCGGTCACGGTTTCCTTCCACACATAGCTTTGCAAAAATTGCATAAAAAGGGATTTAAAAAAAGCTACACAAAACGGAGCGTGCTGCTCTGACCGGCTTTAAAGGGTTAACATTAACTTTAAAAAATAATATAAAATAGTGTGCAACACCACTGAAGTTTTTTTTACCTCTCTTTTCAACCAACGGCAGTCACTCTCCTCTCCAAATAACTTCTGCTTAGCTTTCCGAGCTTCCCTCGGGTCCTCTTAATCAGCGGTCTCCAACCTTTTTTGCGCCACGGACCGGTTTATGCCCGACAATATTTTCACGGACCGGCCTTTAAGGTGTCGCGGATAAATGAGGGAGGGGCTAATAATCGGCTCAGTCATTTTTAATGATCGTTGAAAGCCCAGATCGTAATCGTGATTAAAATTCGATTAATTGAGCAGCCCTAGACAACAGGGTCTGTGTGTTACTGGACAATCCTCGTGCTCTTCTTTGGACTGATCAGGTCAGTGCTGTGGTGCTCCTCACTGCCAAACACCCTGCGGCAACAAATCACGACCAGCTGCTGGAGCCGAGCCGCTGATTCTTCTCACTGATATTTTAGGAAGCATGGATGCACTTCCATGCGCCCACAGAAGTGTGCACAGGCTCTCCTCTCCCCCCTCTGCTTCACCACCGTCATATCTACAACACGACTGTGGGAGAAATTCTGGACGCCATCATGGCTGCTGTTTCCATCCCATCCAGCCGCCAACCTGGCCCCATGTGTTATTAGGGCTGCTCGATTATGGCAAAAATGATAATCACGATTATTTTCACTGAAATTGAGATCACGATTATTTGACGATATTTATTTAACCCTTTAAGACCTACTATAGAACCAAGTCCACCAGAGCTTATATTATTTTTTTTACATGCTGTAGTGCCATTTGTGGGAGCATTTCAAGTTGCTATACATCAATACAACTGTTATAGCCCATATTTTAATAATATGTATGCATTAAGTCCATAGTAATTACATAAATTGCAAAAAAGTGCAATAAACTACAAAAAAAATTGAAAATTGCTTTTGTTTTGTTTACATATATTTCTACTTGGAGAAATTTAAGAGGTTTATCCCTCAAAACTTTAAATACAATAAAGTTGCAAACAATAGTTTCCCACCACAGGGAATTTATTTTGAGTGTCTTCATAGTTTTATTTTGGAGATACAGCAATTTTTATATACTGCAGGAAAAACAAAAAACAATCCTATGATGCAAATTTGCAAAGAAAACAGCAGGTGCATCATTTCACTGTGGGAAGTGTTACGAACAGCTGATAGGAATCGGCAAAGCGTGTTTCTGGAATATTATGTTTTTGTTCCTGCAAGCGCTTTTTATGCAATTTTTGCAAAGCTATATGTGGAACGAAACCGTGACCGAGGACAAGCTGATGGCATCAGATGTAAGTACAACTCCTCCGGTTTCATATGCAAAACAAATTATTGCGCTAGCTTACACGGTTCAGGTTCTACAGGGATTTAAAAATAGTTACGCAAAACGGAGCGTGCTGCTCTGACCGGCTTTAAAGGGTTAACAATGACTTTAAAAAAATAATATAAAATAGTGTGCAACACCACTGAAGTTTTTTTTTTTTTAAACTCTCTTTTCAACCAACGGCAGTCACTCTCCAAATAACTTCTGCTTAGCTTTCCGAGCTTCCCTCGGGTCCTCTTAATCAGCGGTCTCCAACCTTTTTTGCGCCACAGACGGTTTATGCCCGACAATATTTTCACGGACCGGCCTTTAAGGTGTCGCGGATAAATGAGGGAGGGGCTAATAATCGGCTCAGTCATTTTTAATGATCGTTGAAAGCCCAGATCGTAATCGTGATTAAAATTCGATTAATTGAGCAGCCCTATGTGTTATCTTTATCCACTCTGTGCTGCATGCCAGTGCTTGATTCATTTCTGTATGTATATGTATGTATGTGTTGTCGGAAGGACTGTGCAAACGCCTGAAGCCATCCCTCGTTTCTTTCTGTTTCTGGATTTCTTATTCATTTTCACTGCCTTTGCTGTAGCATTTTCAACTTTTAACTCTGACCTGTGAAGTATTCAGGCACAGAGAGGCCTCGCTCAGGGGATTAACCAGCATTGCATCTACATACACCAGGCATGAAACATTACTTCCAAACTAACAGGGTGATTGCCAAGGAGCCATTAACCATAGCAATGGCATATATGCACATGGTGTGCAGTGTGTCCGTAAAAGCAGCCATATATACTTTATGTCCATGTAGACTGCACGTTTTAATAAATCGCCACATCTATATTCATTTTCTGTAGCAAAATACAAAGAGTAGTGTCTTAAAGCCTCAGCCCATCACTGCCATTTAACTGCTTTCATATACACGAGGTTCAAACCTTTTCCTGTCTGAATGTTTACACGTCTGCTCAGTGCTCATTCAGGCTGACCAGCCTGCAGTGTGACAGTGCATACCTGGGTTCTGTCTGGCCATGAGCGGCTTCTGTTGCTGAACATATCTCATGTATCCGTTCAGAGGTCTCTTTGGAGGGGAGCGGGCCTCGGAGGTCAGAAACTTCACTGGGCTGAAGAATGCAGAGGGCAGCACGCTGGTACACCTGCAGGGAGGCAACATACATGAGAACAGCCATCTCTCTCCTCTCCATCACGCTTTATTCCACATGGACTATTTCAGGGTTCAGAGCTGGACTCTAACTCATGCCTGAGATCTGTGAGGAACATTTGTACTCATCATGACTGTCAGTGCATGTCTGACCGCACAGTGTGCTTGTTCACACAGCACACTGCTAACTGGGTGACACTTTACTGTCCGCGTTGAAAGAAGACAGTCAGCATTAGCCTGCAAACACTGCAGCACTGCTATGTGTGAGCTGCAGCTACACTGCGTTTCCTGTCGGATATGAAGAGCACAGAGCAGCTAACGAAGCTTCAAAGCACTGACAGCAAACGAGAACTCTTACAAGATGTCTGCTTTTCTGTTTACCAACAGTACCAAGAACCGAAGGCCATGTTTATATTTACGGCTGCTTCATGCTACGCTTACGTATGCTACCATCACCAACACTCACTGTTCTAAAACACGATGTTCAGGGAGTTTCACACAGCAGACTGCAGTGTCTCTGCAGCTAGCTAATGCAACACATACGCCTGGGTTAGCTACCTTGCCAGAGAGCCAGTGCAGGAGAGCACACTGAAGGACTTAGCCAGCAGGCTAACACCTGCTGTCAGCAAGTACGGAGCCATGTCGGCGGGAATCAGCGCGAAAGTCCGCAAACAGGGGAGCGAAGAGCAGACGCGTTGTCTCTGTGCTCAGGCGACGCTGTGATAGCGCTGGAACCCAGGGAGCCCACGGACACGCACCACCAACTGTCTACCAACAAAACGCGCCTTCACTCTCTCCCGGTGGATTGTGGGAAAAGGTCAACTGTTTTTTTAACTTCCTGTGTTGACGCTTTACTTCCAACAAAGCAGCAAATCAGCTTTAAAGCACAAACAGACTCAAAGACAACGTGGTCAAAACAACTTTAAGACATCTGAAGTCATCTGATGTTCATTTTGAATTTAGACGAAACGGCGGTGTGCTTGTACGTCACTTCCGTTTCCGCTTAGTGTTCAGAGGGCTCGATGGTTGTTTATGACGAGTGTGGTTTCAAAAGGAGATTTGGTTTAAGCTGCTGTTGATTTAACCCTGTTAAAATATAAGAGCGATATAGAAACATTTACTGAGGTTTTACATGTCGTTTGATCTCTAACAGCATCTGATCAGAATGAGTCCCAGGACGTGTTTGGTGACTCTGACTTTAGTGAGACTGTCGTGCTTTTCACCTCATTAATCAACCACCACATAAATGTAACTTCTCCACTTTCAGGAGAGAAACACAACTCTGTGTTCCTCTCACAATAAGAAAGCTTTAAAAACCATTAATATTTGTAACATTTTAATTTATTGAATTATTCAGTCCCGTTTTTCCTCTTTGCATCTGTATTTCTATCCTTTTTGTTTAATTAGACATACTCTTCCTGACTTCCTCTGTGTTATAATTTTGCAGTACAATTGTAAAACCCGTTGTGTTATGCTCGTTAAAAGTTTCTGTTGAAATAAAGTTGGAGGGAAAAAAGTGCAGTTTCTCCCAACGTTTCCCAGCAACATATAAAGAGACGGATGTTGGCTTAAGACTTTTGCACAGTATGTTTGACTGTGCTTCCATATTCTCTAGTTTCATGTAACACTGCCAGCACACAGCGCAGTCAAAGTGCAATAAGAGCACCACATACAAAGTGTGTTGCTCGTGTCAACATAAAGCACCGAGTTACACAATCATGTCATGATAGTAACGGTACTATTCTTTAATCCAGTACAAAATGTGCCACATGGGCCTCAGAGACACAGGTAGAAAACTTTACACAGGAACAAAAAGCAGGGTCTTTAGCCTTTGTTACGATGGAGTGCAGCTTAATGAGGACAGTGTAAAAAAGCTTCTCATTGGGCTGAAGGCCTGATTGTTGTACCTGTGGAAATCCAACGTCACAGCTACGATCAGGGGACAAGAGCACATCATTTTAATGAGAGCTTTACACTGTGATGACTCCAATCTGAGTTCAAATAGAAAAAATCATTCCAAACAGACTGAATACAATATAGGTGTTGTCAATAATAATAACAATAATAATAACAACAACAACAATAGAAGAAAACAGCAACACATAAGAAGTCGCTCCCATTCTCAGGACCACTGCCACAGTACATTGTTTCATTTCAATCAACTTGGTCTGCTACACCAACATCAAGACTCCTCCGTAAGCCAGCACATCGATGAAGTGACGACGCAAAGAGAACAGTATCAGTCAGTACTGTTGTCTGTTGGAGGGCCATACATATTTCACATTCAGCCTTCAGTGTTTCTTCCTGGCTGCTGATGCGCGAAGCAGAAAGGTGGATGACGGAGCCGCCTGAAGCTCGTGCGCCAAAGTTTTCCAGGACTTTTTCCTGTATTACAGAAAAGGGATTTGCATTTCTTTGCAATACTTCTGCATTGTCTCACACTGTGCATTACATTCTGTGTGATCTGTACCAGGGGTTCGTCTACAGAGGCTGTAAGGGACAATTAGAAAGGAAGGAGACATGACGCGACTGTCCTGCTATCGGTGCTCACATGCTAATAGGTCGGTGTCCAACAGCATGCTGCTGCTTACTGTCAGAACAGCTAACTGAATGTTTTCAGTAGTAACCTGGAAAGATCCACAGCACCATCAGCTCAGACAAAGAAGCAGCCAACAACAACCACACATCAGGCACAGCCTCAGCTGGCTGTGCTCACAGCCAGCAACTCCACGCTGTCCCTCATCATCTCTCCTCTCTGCAGCCAATGAAGTATTAGCCTTAATTGGCTGTGTCCAACTGGACTGGATCAACACAGCAACAGTTACAGTAATAATGTAAGGAACACAAAAGTATTGTTAGGTAAAGTAACACAGGAGTCGAGCTAAGACGTCCTGCTGCGGCCCTTCTGATCTCCGTTCACAGCACAGCTGACGTGGGCTTGTTCCGTTTGGCATCTGGTGGCATTTCTGTCCTCTCATTTTATACTTGTACTTAAAAAGGAAAGAAAACAATCTGTAATAATCATGAATGTCACAAATGAACCGTCCGTGGTGCAATAATAACATGCCAAACGTTAAAAATGCCCAAGTATCCACTGAGTGCGCACAGGCAGGCTGTGGCCTGCTCCGAGTCCGGCTTCTTTTCAGGAAAAACAAAAACAACCCCCCAAAGTAATGTAGATGTTATCGGCCTCGGATTAATAACGATGACAACAGTTCAGTTTGGTGGAAGTTAAGTAGGATTATTTGATGAGTTCGTACTATAATTTCAGTGCGTGTTGACTTTAAAAAACAGATGGGAAAAGAAAGAAACTAAATGTCAGCCTGTCGTTTTTGCGCTGTGCTCATCTTCTTCACATGGCGTACTTCTGGGTCCATTCTTTTGCTAGTTTGTTGTATCTGAGAAGAGAAAAAGACACAAATCGATGACACCATCAGACACACTCGCTTTACTAAAGACGTTAGCATGGGCGCGTGTGTGTATTCACTTGTCTTTGTCGTTCTTGTAGATGTGAGCTATGTCAGGCACCAAGGGGTCATCTGGGTTTGGATCACACAGCAATGAACATATGGACAATAAAACTGCAAAAAACAGGTGAAAGGATCCCGTCAGTGAACTGAGGACAGTTTCATTGTCGAGTGTGTAGAAACGACACACTTCAGTTAACATGGGGCAGACGTGACGCTGTGTGGGAGCAAAGGGAGGTTTCTCGGCCCTAATCATACGATCCATAATGCCACTTTTTAAAATACAGACAACACACACACACATCTGATTACCTTTAGACACCGTCAGCGCTGGAGACCACTGTGACCGCAGGATGTCCAAGCAGATGCTGCCGTTGCTGTTTATATTTGGGTGATAAATCTTTGTTGTAAATGCTACCTGGATTAAAAAAATGAATGACGTTAGTAACATTCAGCGAGTGGAATACCTGAGGTGAGCAGGTCCTGAGTGATACCTTCCTCATCGTCAAGACGACTGAAGCAACTACCAATGAAAGAGCAGGATACCGTTTCCAAAGTAACCCAAGCCTGTAACATCCACTACCCACCATGACATCGTGACAGCGACACACAACACGTCTTGCTGTGTGGAGTCTGGGCACCGTCGTGGATTTAAATCAAATTTGCAGTGCAGACTTTCAGCTTTGATTCAGTGGGCTGAACAACAATGTTACATTATCTGTTTGAAAATCACAGGCTCGACTTTCAGAGGCTCAACAGTAAGTGGACCATGAAGTGACAAACTCAAGCACAGCAGCTGTTCCTTTCCTGGCGGCAAACATACATGCACACAGACACACAAACAAGCAGAGCAGTTAAAGACCAGGAGACATCCTGAGATCCTGTTAATGTCAAACTTTTGTTAAACCTTTTGAATTAAAGCTTAAAGCCTGCACTTCAGTCACTTCCTGTTTGATTTAAAAGCCACACTTGCTATCCCAGGTTAATTTTAGTCTTTTTGTTTGTCAGACTTTTCTTTTGGCATCAGGATTAGTTCATGTGTGGAAAACCTGCTTAAAGAGCTTTATTCAGGTGTGCAGCCACCGTGGGCCACCGATCCTCCCAGTCTCAACTCTGCTGGAGCAGTGAGCAACATTTTTCCAAAACACACGCCCTTATTTACTTATCAAATCAGCCAGTGAGCCTGGTACACGTGTCCAGGAGAGACCACTCCTAGTAGGACAGAAATGTCTCAGGACAAAAGTGAACAGTTTGTCTTCCAAGCAGGCCGCCACCGCCCTCCAGTAACTCTGACTGAATAACACATGTGTACAATATGTAAGGTAGGTTATACAATCTTCCCACCAAACACACTGTGTTTGTGCTTCTTCCTGTGTGTGTTTGCAGTCACCCTGAACTGGTGACCCTAGACTAGCTGTGTGACAGACTAGTGACCCGTCCAGGGTGTACTCTGCCCCTCACACCATCTCACTTCCTTTCCTGCCTCATATGACCTTAAAATGGATAAGTGGTTAAGAGGGCGGCCGTGTGGATGTGCTGCTGTGTATGTATGAAATTTGGCACAGTGATGCAAGTTGTCAGCTCTGTGAGACAGGAGATCTAGCAGCATGGCAGGAGAAAAGCTTGGGGCTCTTACCTTTGGTGGCTTGAACGGGTAGTCAGTAGGAAAGTGAATTGTGAGAAAGAAAACTCCTCCTTGGTACGGACTGTCACCCTGACAAAAAAAACACTTCTGTCAACACAACAGTGAAACGATTCAGGTGGAATCAGTCGGCTCGCTCCCGTCACCTTCAGCCCAGATGAACAAACCGGTTGGTACCACTTCTCATTTGTCTATATTTATTTATTTTTCTATATGAGAATAATTTCAACACTGTAACAAAGAAATGTCCCAAATATGGGATAAATAAAGCATTGCTCATTATTTCTGATGCATTTAGTGCAGAAAACATTATGAGAGAAGAAGAAGCAAGCTTAGCGTGACACTCACCGGGCCCATTATTGTTGCCTGCCAGTGAAACACTAGGAGCAAGAAACAAAACAGAGGCACATATAAGAACGCAAGCTGTACATTCAACCAACACAATGTTCAGAGGCCATCATCCACCACGTTACACATGCTGTGTGTACAGAGCACAGTGCACACTGTGTACTGTGTCCACAAAAGACAGACAGCTGTGCTTTGTCATCAGCCTTACTCTAACTGGCTGATTACAGGGTGACTAACAGCCGTCGCTCCCATTTCCCAGTTAAAAGATAACCTATGGAGCTCATAGTTAACCCTTTGGAGAACCCCTGGCTGTCCATTCAATTTTAAATTGGTCCTAGACACAGCAACACAGTCCAGTCTTGGGGTGTCTCACTGTGAAACAGCATAGGGCATACAGTCACTTTCAGGCGATCAGGATGGAGTTCCAGCCTTCGGCAGAGGTCCGGCTTTCTAGAAGCTAGTCTGACGTCTCTGCAGAACTTCCTAGTAAATCTTTTAGGACCCTTCTTTAGCCAAATGAAACATTTTCTTCTGATATCTACTTGACTCGTTCTTCCACCGCTCTTTTTTTAAAACTGACCCTACCAAAAAATAAATAAATAAAAAAATCCTCTTGAAAACTATTTATGTTTTGCTTTAGATTGTTAAGATAAAACGTAGAATGACATTTAGGAACTATGAAGCGTCTCAAGGCCGACATGCAGAATCAGAATCAGAATCAGAAAGGGTTTTATTGCCAAATGTTGAGCAGGTTTACAACATTAGGAAATTGCTGCGGTGCTTCAGTGCAAACATACTGTCATAAAAATATAAAAATAAGAATAAGAATTAAAAGTGCTAAGTGGATAGATATATACATGATATATACATGAGTGCAGGTGGTGATCAATGCAGGATGTGAACTCACTGTCATCCCCCACTGGTCCAGCCGAGCACTGTGCGGGAGGGTCTCTCTGCAGGTCCTGCAGCTCCTGGTCAACATAACACACACCAGTCTGTGAGGTTTGACTGAACATCACGTGACACGGCAGTTTTAATGTGAATCAGCTGCAAATGCAGAAATCTTTTCCGTCATTAATGGCAAATACCATCCAGGTATCGCTACAGTCCCCACTAGGCCGTTAATGCAAGCGTGCTTGTGTGTGACTTTGTTTCGACAGTGCGGACCACCGAAAGAAACCATCACTGTTATATGTATGTAGTTATTATAAGTCCTGTCAAGCCTTCGAGAAGCTCGTCTAACGTGTTATTTCACTTTTCCATTATAACTGGTAGTCCTCTCCGTGCGCCCTCAATAGTCCACAAAGGAAGTGAACTAGTCCACACTACAGAGAACCGAAATGAACTCCGTGCAAACTTCCCTGGTCACCGCAGTCCCAGCCCTCACTACAAGCTGGACAACACAGCTTCTGACACAGAGACAGGCTAACATGGAGGGCACAAAGAGGGTAGTTAATGAGCTAACTACGCTCTTTGGTCATTTGTTAGCGAGCTAGCATGAAACTTTGGATTTGTCAGCCTGCTTCGTCCGTTAGAAGAGATGTCAGCGGCCCCATTATTATCAAAAATATGACGAAGTTTGAGCGGAGTTGTTTCAAAGCGGGGGGAGTGTAAGTTCTGTATGAATACACCTTTAGCGAAAAATAAATCCTATCGTTAGCCTCTGCTGTGCTATCTTTAGCTGGCAACCAATGCTAGCTTGTTAAACTTACCTTCTGTATTCTTTTCAGTGCCATGCTAACTGACGCAGTCCGCTCCCGTGCTCACTCCTCGCTCGTGTTGGTAGGATTATTGCTGGCCAAGTCAATGGTTGTAGTTTGTTCCCTGAGTACTTCGACAGCCGGGACGTGTTTGTGTTTTTATAAAAACCTCTTTTGTTTCCGCTTTCTTCTGTTTACGGTCGTCCCCTCGAAGTGGATCACGGGAAATGTAGTTCTGAATGTGCGCTATGCTTGTATCTCAGAAATAACCCTAACTGCTATACTTAAGGAAGTATCTGAGGTACCTTTAGTTCTTGCCTTTCAATGCTTCATCTTTTTAATCCACTACAAGCTGAACAAGTCGCTGCTGGTAGAAGAACACTCGTTTTTCTTGTTGTTCAGAAATCAGAAACATCCCACAGTTCCAACCATATACGGCTTTCACCTTCATCATGTGATGAAATGTAATATGTATTTAAAACAAAGTTTATTTGGTGGAGGACTGTCATTTGGTGACGTTTCTTTACATACACTCACTGGACATTTCATTAGGTACACCTCTCCATAACACAAACATCTAATCAGCTAATCATAGAATCATAGAATAACAATCCAATGTATTTAGGCACGTATACATGATGGAGACAACCTGGTGAAATTCAAAGCGAGCATCAGAATGAGAAAGAAAAGCACGGTGATGGTGTTAGATGGGCTGGTCTTAGTATTTCAAAAACTGCTGATCTATTAGAACTTTCCCCACACAACCATTTACAAACCAGGTCATCAGAAGACCTGATCAAACCTTAAAGTGGCCTACAGCAGCAGAAAACCACACCAAGCGCAGCGTCTGTAAGAGCAGGAAACTGAGGCTACAGGCTCACTGAACTTGAACAATAGAAAACATTGTCTGTGCCTCCTTTTATGACTGCAATTTACCAGTCTTGGCTCTTGGCTTGTCAAGCAGGATAACAAACCGTGAGCTCAAATCCTCTGAAACATGAATATAGTTTCTTGAACATAACAATGTGTTCACTCAAAATCACCAACAGTCCCCAATTCAAACAGAACACTCTGACATGTGGAGGAATATTCACATCATGGATGTGCACCCATCTCCAGCCGCCCCATAGCTGCAGCACCCTGATGTATCTATGCTGCAAAGATTTAAGGCAGCTCTGAAGGCAAAAGGAGGTCTGACCCATTATAAGAAAGGTGTATCTAATAAAGTGTCCAGTGATGTCTTGATGCAATGATTTCACTTTAAATTTCTTTGTATAGTTAAATCACAACAGTCCCAGGGTTTTATATTGGAGTCTTGTTTATTACCAGGTGTTCTCGGTTGGGTTGCTTTGTTCTTCCTTTTATTCTCCCCCTGAAGGGAGGGAGTGTGTAATCAGCTCCATTTGTGTGTTTGTTAGCAGTCTAGCATCCACAGTTTTCAAGATATCATTTTCCAATGTAGTGTGCTAGTAGAACCCTCAAACAGCACAAACGCTGTATTACCCATGATTTCTTTATGGAACTTCACACTAAAGTTCTAGACCTCATGGGATATGAGTGCGTAGGTTTTATGTTAATTTTTTTCATTTAAAAAAACTTATCAGTGATACATTGTATGAAAGGTTTGGAAAGAGCAGTACAACACATAACATGTTTCCATAGCAGGCTGACATCAGCACGTTGTAATAAAAACATAAAACATCAACGTTTTAGTTTCGCTCTTGCCTTTTGGGGGAGATTTTCCTTACACCTTAGCGTCCTGTGTCCTTAGACCTTGTTGTATTTTGGTTGTGGTTACTGTTTGTATTGATGACATGTGTACCCGGATTCTTGTTCAGTCTGTGACTGTGTTTCCTGCACTTCACTCACCATTTCCTGATTTACTTTGATTTATTTTCCTCGTGTTTTGCTGTCGTCAGAATCAGAATGCTTTATTAACCCTGAGGAAATTATGTGGTCACAGTCACTCCAAGACATTAAGAACTGACTGAACTCAATTAAATAATACAATATATTACAAAATTACAAATATATATATCCAGATATTAAATATATATGAATGACATTTTACTCTAAACTGTAAAACTGTTATTTGTTAAAGGATGTGCCAAAGGGTGTAAATTCTGCAGCCTGGAGGAGCTGGAGTACTGTGTGGTTCGGTGGTACATTTAGGTAATCTCACTGAACATGCTCCTGTGACTGGCCAGCAGCCAGTAGAAAGACATTAACGGCTGCCCTTGAGCCTGGTTCTGCCAAAGGTCGCCCTCTTCAAAGGGGGTTCTTCCTCCGCAGGCCACCAAAGTGTGTAATGCTCAAATATCTTCTTTCTGCCTGGCTTCACCAAGTATTTAGCACTGACTCACTGCTTCAGTCTTTCTCTTCAGTCAATATTAGTTAAAACATCTTTAACCTCGACGCTGTGTAACAGTTAATATGCGAACACAAGGGTCATCTTTTATATTGAAGTTACAGGAACCCGATGAATAAATCCCACTTGGGCCTCTGTGTTGATAGACACGAAATGATGCTAAATTAGAGACGTTATGCAAGCCTACAGCATAAACACTCTCAGGGTGCCATTACCAAGAGCCTGGCCTGGACAGCATTTCTTAAACTGTTTAGGAAATGTTTAGGATGTTCATGTTTAGGAAATTTGGGGCCAATTACAGTGATAACATGAACTTTCCAACTGATACGGGTAATTGTCAGCATAATTGGGACCCTCTGAAATTATACAGGAAGATGCACAAAATCTCTTTTTCCATCTCTTTCTCAAGAAAGACAGCGACGATGTTAAACCCTCAGATATTTCATGACTTACTGGCTTTTTACAGGTTATGTGCCAAGGAAAGAAAAAGCCTCATACTTTCTCACACTCTGAGCACAAAAAGACGATGTTGTTTCGAATCTCCAAAGCCACAAATGTACTTAAGTTGTATAAAACCATCGCAAACTACAGACACAAACTAGAAGACGTGCGAATACTCTAGCCTACATACTGACAGCGCTGAAACAATCATCTAATACAAGTCCTGCATTCAAAGTGTTACTTTAAATACAAGTATTAAACATAATAATAATAGTATTGTAAATGTATTACAGTTTTACTCACTGCAGAAAAAATACCCGCTGTAACTCTAAGTCTCTATTATATCCTTATTGTATCATTACTCATTCAAAACTGTAAAGTAGGTTTTTATATTTGATGCAGATTAACCAAAAATATACACATTTATAATGGATTCATCTGCTGATTATTTAACTTTAAAACAAAACGCAGCAAGCGGCGGCAGGCTGCGTCCTGGCTGGTCGCACCCTGGGGGTCCGCATGGGCACTGGAAAAGTCTGAACCTCCTCAACTCCCATGCCACCGGGGAACGCCAGTGGGGGTATCGGCAGCGTCGGCCAGGACCGGATCAGAACCACCAGATTCAATCCTTTGCATCCGGCGCTCGATCCGGTCCTGGAGTTCTTCCCGCTGGCTGCGAGACACTGTGGCCTGCTCCCGCTGCACCCACCAGCTCCATCCCTGGTCTGCTGTGCCCTCCTGCTGGGTTTCGGCACCACTGTAATCATCAGACGACAGACCTGTCCACATTTTTATGCTTTTCAGCATCATCTTTTATTCTCTCACGGTTGCTGTACACAATACCCAGCTGCAGCTTGCAGCCACACACATCAACAACAAACATGACATCGGTCCGAGCACAGACTTTAAGCCGGCGAGGCGTGATTGTGGATCCCGCTCAGGTGCATCCACCTCCCCTGCAGCGGCTCCACAGACCACGCCCCGCCACAATGGGAATCACACCCTTTAGCCTCCCCGGAAAAGTCTATTTCTGGGTGCTGGAAATGAGAGTCCGTCTGTTAGTCAAACCTCAGATACAGGAGGAGCAATCCAGGTTTTCATCCAGGTCACGGAACACTGGAGCAGCTCTTTATTCTTTTGACGATACTTCAGGGTGCGTGGGAGTTTGCCCAACCAGCCTACACGTGTTTTGTCGAGGTGGAGAGGACATTTGATTGTTCAGTTTGGAGTATTCTGTGGGAAGTGCTTTGGGAGAAAGGGGTGTCTGGACTGTTGCTACCATCCGTTGGATCCTTATACAACCATTGCAAGAGCTTGGTCCACATAGCCGGTAAGAAGTCAGACTTGTTCCTGGTGGGTGTTCTTCAACATGGACAGGATTTCTAGGAATAGCCAAGTGCAGAAGGCTTCCACTTGGGTGGTCTCAGACTCTCGTCTCTGAGATGTGGCTCTGTTGATATCATCAGGTGGTGGCCTACAGCTTACACTGGAGCAGTTCGCAGTCAAGTGTGAAGGGGTGTATTGAGAATCCAAGCACCTCCAAGTCTGAGGCCATGGCCCACTCTGGGTCAGGGAGGAGTTGCTTCCCCAAGTGGAAGAGTATCTCGGAGTCTTGTTGACAAGTGAGGGGAGCAGGAGATTAAGAGGTAGATTGGTGCTGCAGCTGCAGTGGTGCAGACGCTGTACCGGTTGGCCGTGGTGAAGAGAGAGCTGAGCGTAAAAGCGAAGCTCCTGATTTACCGGTCGATCTACGTCCCTACCCTCACCTATCGTAACAAGCTATGAGGAGTGACCAAAAGAACAACACAGTGGATACAAGTGGCGTAAATGAGCTTTGTCTGAAGGGTGGATGGCCTCTTCCTTAGAGACTCTGCGCAGGTTAGTGCACGCTACACTGATCAAGTTGCAGTACTGTGATAAAGTTTGCAGTAACACTCTATGGCTGTATCCCAATTCAGGGTCTGCAGCCTTAAAGGCCCCATTTCAATGCCGATTACGTCACAGCGGCGCGCCGAAGGCTGTCCCAATTCAAAGCCTGCTTGAAATGCGGCCCTGAAATGCGTCCTTCATTTCCCTGAATTTTAAGGCTGTGGCAGTGTAGACTTCGTGGTCCCATATATCCCACAATTCATAGCGCGGCAGTCGGTGTGGAGAATTCTGCCGCAGACGGCAGAAGCGGAGCGGCCGAAGAGTAAACTGTGAAAAGTAAGTACTGAATATGATGTCACTTATTTATGTGCAAATGTTTAATAACGAAGAACATTAAAACATTACTGTTGGCCACATGTCAGCAAAGTTATGTGACATTAGTGACGTTTGTACTAACTTGGTTTTAAAGCCTTTAAATATACGCCGTTCAATAGCTGAGCTTAATCCTACAGAGAATGATCAAAGCTCTGTAGAAACAAACAAATGAACAAAAGATTTTCTCCTTCATGTCTGTCAAAAACAGCTGTATGACACGTTTCCAGCTGTTAGTATCATGGTTGCTAGGCAACCTGGGCAGCGCAACGGAGGCTAGACCGTCCCATTTCATAAGCCTCGCACTTCCGGCCTTAGCGGTCTTTGAGTACGCGGCCCTTGAGGATCGTTGAGGCTGCGTACTTTAAGGCTGCAGACCCTGAATTGGGACACAGCCTATGTTTAACTGGTGCAGAGAAGCTGTAGTGTTCACAGTCACTTCTAGGTTACATCAAGAGTAGCAGACATTAAATCAGTCAATTCCACCTTTATCCTAGCTTTGTACAGTCTGGAGGGGAAAAATCTTCCATAAACATCAGGTAACATTGGCTTTTTTCTTGTTTCTTTTTGGCATTAAAACAATTTTCAGTGGAATTGCATGTGGATCAGGAATGTCAGTGGAAAAGAAACTTTCCTGCCACTGATATTGCCCCCCTAAACAGTTTGAGTATCTACTGCCTCAGCCACCCCCACACCAATTTCAACTATACTGATATAGCACTAGTTCACAGCAGCCATGTCAAGGTGTTTTATGTATCAACCCAGGAATATTAGAGAGAAATCCCATCAATCAGATGATCTATTGTGAGCAGCAGATGGCAAATCTGGGCTGAAAAAGCTCCATTTGCAGTAGATAAAACAGGAGTGTTCAGGGAGGGGCAGCGAGCTGCTGTGATTGGCTGGGTGATAAGGAGAAAGAGAAGACGGAAAAAAGGAGCTTAGTGAGACCAACAACAACAAATATGAACACACCCAAACTAACACCGATGCCGGGAACTCCTCAGAGTGATTAGAAAAGAATTTCTCCCAAATTCATTTTACAGCAGGACAAATGTCCAAACTCAGAGTCTCTGTCACGAACAAGCTGCCGTGCTTTAAGCTTGAAAAACATGCGTCCTCTGTAGTTAAATCTAGTTTTGACCAACTACGTCTAATCTCTAAAGCCAAACCAAGTAGGTTTGGTTCTATTACCCCAATTCTCTCTGACCTACGCTGGCTCCCATTAAATATCACATTGATTTTAAAATCTTATTGCTTACTTTTAAAATCATAAATAATACCGTGCCTAGCTATCTTACTGATCTTCTCAGCCTGTATATTCCTAGTAGCGCACTGAGATCATCAGACCAGTTGCTCTTAGTGCAACCTACCGTAGGTCACGGCTGAAGACCAGAGGTGACCGTGCTTTCCCCTCAGTTGCACCTAACCTCTGGAACAACCTCCTACAAGCTGTTTGCACATCTGACTCAATCCAGACTTTGGTTTAGCCTTCCCGGCTATCTAGAGTACGCTTCTTGTAAGTGTACTCTTATGCAAGCCCTTTTCTTCTGTTTTGTTGAACAATGTTTTGTACTGATTTTACTTTATAAATTTTATTTTGATATCTGCTTATGCTTGCTTAATCAATGCTCTCCACCTGCTAGCTTATTTGCATTTATATTTTGCTACTGCTTTCACTGGACCTCTGGTTTTAAATGTGCTATACAAATGAACTTGTATTGTATTGTAAACCTACAGAGTGGTCATACCAGCATTTTATTTGACTTATTTAACTTTGTTTCTCCATAGAGTTAATTATTAAATTAATTGATTGACCATTTTATAAGACACTGTATTTACTCTCCTCCTGTAGTTTGTGTATGAGTTAAATCTGGGTGTTGCAGAGATCTGACTCCTATCTACATGTTAGAAACAAACGAGTAACTGCATGATGGAGGATCACATTCTTTCGTTTATCAAATCCATTTAATGTGATCCAGCCGCTGCTGTTGAAGAATAAGCCACAGGAAGTGTCAGCAAACACGTCCACCTTCTCATGGATTACCGACTACCTAACAGACAATATGAGAATGTGAGAATCAAATCAAATCAAATCACTTTTATTGTCACATCACATGTGCAGGTACATTGGTACAGCACATGTGAGTGAAATTCTTGTGTGCGAGCTTCACAAGCAACAGAGTTGTGCAAAATACAAGAATGGCTACATCTGAAACTAATAAATATATGTACAATATATAATATATAATAGTATATGCAAAAAAAAAAAATTCTGGATGTGTATACTAAATATTTTTCTACGTGTGTGTGTGTGTGTGTATACACATATTTTACAATTTAAATAGAGTAAACAATAAATAAATATATAAAAATATACAGAGTTGAGACATGTGCAGAATGTCTCAACAGGACAGGAGCTCCACAGTGATGTGTGTCTCCACCTACAAGAATGGTGACTGACTTCAGAATGAAGAGGACAAATCGTGTCTATCCTGAGGCAGGATGCTGATGTGGCACAATGACAACAGGTTAAAAGGAAGACCAGCACAGAGGCTCTGCTGGGGGAACAGCATCATAGCTGGTGACACCTACAGACAGACTGAAGTGATGGCTATGTGTTCATGTGACTGGCTGCACACTGGAAACATTTGAAGCTGTGGTGGAGAGGAGGTCATTATGCAAGCTTTCGACCACCCTCTGCACCACTTACAGCAGGCAGCAGAGGACCTTCTCTGACAGACTGATGGAGCTCCACTGTGACAAGGACAAATACATTAAATCTTTTATACCTTAAGCAACTCATCTGTTCTCTCCTCCACACAGTTGTCATTTATAAGTTTGCTTTACAAACGTGGACATTACAGCTTGCAGGTGAATCTTCCCCTTTTAGTACAGCTAGCCAAGTAGCAAAGATCCACTTACTGCTAAAGACACAGAGAGTGAAAGTGAACATAAAACCCATTGTTGCAGCCAGAGGCAGCGTAAAGGTGATCCCTTAAACTGATGTGTAGTTTTAGTGTCCTTATTTTCCACTGGGTTATCAATTCTGTCACTAGTTAGCTAACATAAGCTAATATAAGTCAACCAACCTGGTGAGGTAACATGTTGTACTTACAGGAGATAAACTTTAAACACTTATTTCTTAAATCCAGCTTCACAGACAGAGTTACATCTATGTCAGTGTTTCAGAGCAGGGCTACATGATGTAAACAAGCCTTTATATGTTTGGTGTTTCATGACTGCACTGTCACAGCTCTGATGACTCTCCACTCCACGTGCATTCTGACTTTCATTCTTCTTCTCTCCAGAGCATACCTCCACCTCTCTGGACGCTCTTCCACCTCTCCCTACGGATCATAATGTCACCTGCAAACATCATAGTCCACAGAGACACGTGCCTGACCTAATCTGACAGTCTGTGCAAAGAGGAAGGAGCTCAGAGCAGATCCCAGGTGTGATCCCACCACCACCGTGAACACCTCACCACTGTCTCTCTGGCACCACCCTCACATATATCTCTGCCACTCCTGGCCTCCTCATGCACATCCATACAGACACAGTGAAGCTCTTTCTGACCTCTTCTGTAATAAACACCATATCTGTAGTGCTCTTTCTCAGCATGAAGCCACACTGCTGCTCACTGATCATCACATGTTCAAACTACTTGTTATATGTTTGCTGTGCCCAAATAAAGTGTATCTCATGTCATTACTGACTTATTTAAGCTAAAGGCATATTATTTTATACAGTTCGTTTTCTCTGTCCCATTATGTTCACTTCAGATTTGTTCAGGTTTTATGTGAGTCTATTTTTTATTGTGATTTTGATCTTTTGTACTGTGTTCTTCAAACCACGTTCTAACTATTTTGGGGTTATACAAATACAGTTTATTATTAGACTCGCAGTAATATCTGATTGTAACCGAAACACCGACACGCTTTTTATATGTAGTCACGTAAGAGTAAAATGTATTTCATGGAAAATGCAAATGAAGGCACGTGCTGTCGTTCGTGGATGAAAATTGATGGTTTTGCGACAGTACTGGCAAGTGTCGCAAACGTGTGGGAGGCTTTGAGCTGCTCGTTACGTAGAGGCTGCCGCCTACACTGACCTGGATATCTGTGGCCGAGGAAGGCTCTGCCGACCTCGTTTCATATCAGTGCTTTAGGACTGCGGCACAGCGCGCGGACCTGTTTGCAGCTGCAGGGCCCTCGTGCTGAAGGCTTTGAACAGCAGCGGTGTGTCCGCGAGGACGGACTGTTAGCAGCCTAATGGGCAGGATCGAGAACAAGGCCGGGCTGAGGACAGTTATCGTGTCATGTCTGTGTGTCTCTGATCACGCCGCGTGTCCGACTCGCTACTGCGTGGAACAGGGTCTCTGTGTCGTGCACCTCCGTTTACTCCGACATCAGTATTTACTTCTCTGAAGCAAGGAAGTGGAGCTGGCGGAACTCGGAGAACGTGAGACCGGAAGTTGTGTGACTTGACCGCCATAATAAAAGCCCTAAGAAGTTTTGTGTACACTTATAAATGGCTTCTGGGGTTAAACAGATGAGTACAACTGGAACAAAACTACAGCCAACTTGTCATTTGTAAAATAACGTTTCGTCCTTTGCCAGTGCCGTGTATCCCGAATGATCTATCCACGTTGGTCGGCTTTATTTTGGAGTGTGCGAGCGGAAGTCGCCCTTGGCTCTGCGTGCGCTGACACTGGTAGGAAGTGGGATGTGGCCAGGATGTATTTATGCTGCTGTCCGAGATGTGAGAGTCAGTAAATCAGCTCTGCCTTTAGAGCCCGTGTTCCCCGGCGCTCACAGCGGGGGTACGCTCACTGACGCTGCCCGTCAGCGTGGTTCGTGTCAGGGGTTGAAGCAGCGGCCGCAGCCGCTGTGCTGTCCCCGCCTGGACGACACCGTGCCCGGGAACAGTTTGTTGAATTTGCGCGTGGCTGTAGCCTGAGCTTTACGTAATGACAGCATGTGAATGACACGTTTGGCTTGTGACTTTCTTGCCCAGCACTGCACATCCACGGTTTTAAACACATGTCAAGAACTCAGCCTCAGATGATGATGGAGTCCTCTGTCGCGCTCGGCAGGCTGGAGCTGGCCCACAGCTCCTCCGCGGGTGGGGTGACCTCTCGGCTCCCCGGAGGCGCACCCCCTAAAGAAAAGCCCGGCCAGCCACCCTCAGGGCTCCAGAGCCAGGCTCACCTGAACGGCTGCGTCCCGCTGTCACATCAGGTGGCGGGTCACAAGTATGGAGTGGATAAAGTGGGTAAGTCAGCTGCGGACACGACTCTGATCACCCTGCACTTACAGGTCCTGCCACAGAACCACCTCTGTGCTCGCCTTCGTGTGACTTCATGTTAGCTGGTTATTCAAACGGAGATCTGACTTAATCCTGACAGGTGTTAACGCACCTTTACATGCAGACACTCACTCCTTTGTTTGTCCTCATAGAATCCGCGCTCACCAAAGAAGAGACATCAACTGTTTAGCAGACGTGTGTCTAATGTCCATGTGTGCAAACAGTGAACTTACACACTGGACCTTTTTTCAGTGTTTCCATGATAGGAACACGTGTCAGTTTCTCTTTGCAGTTCTCTCTGTGCTTTGCAAACGTCGCGCTCTACAGTATCATTTGGAGAGTTCGTTGAAATGCCAAAATTCAGAAAGTTGTCCATCGTCCCGCTTGCTGCAGTGTAGGGGTAAGCGTTATACACTCAAAATTATAGCACAACATTTCAGGAAAACATATTTTCTGTATGTGTGATTAGGGATGGGTATTGATAAGATTTTCACGATTCCGATTCCATTTTCGATTCTGTTTAACGATTCGATTCTTTTTTAAAAAGGAGAACACTAAGGTCGATTAGCTTAGAACTTTGTTTTATATCTTCTCTTTGAACAAGATAGAAATTTAGGAGTAATATGGCCTTACAAACCCAACAGTGAGATCTTAAGAGATCCACAGCCTACGGCTCTTCAATGGGGTGTCACTGTCTGGTCACAGGGTCCCCAGGAAAAAAAAATTGTAAATGTAAAATAATAAAATAAATATTCTTCTGTAGCAATAACAAAGTATAACATAAATTATTCTGTAGCAATTACACAAGAATATCCAGAAATGTCCCTGCCTACAATTAAACGCATTCACTTACCGAAAATCGGGGGCATCTGCTGTGGCAAATGGGTTCAAGCCTTTTACCACTTTTAGTCACTGCTGGGTGACATTCGTCTATCCTGGCCTGAAAGGAGACGCTACCGGTAGACTGCAGCGAGAGCTGCCAGCATCTGAGCCAGACTCTGTCTCTCTCATCATGGTCACCTAAATGCACAGTAATGGTTTTGTAATAAGGCAGATCGCGCTAACATAATATGCACTGTTAGTTGATTATTTACCTGCCGCATTAACGGGAGAGGACGTGCAAACGTTACCGCTGCTGCTGGGTTGAGATTCACGAGTCCGGAGCGGAATTAAAAACACGACATTCATTTAAGGTCATCGCGTGTTTTGTGAGCAAATGCTTTTGCATATTCATAGTGTTTCCTCCCTTAAATGAAATATCTACTTTGCAAGTATTGCAAGTTGCCCTGTTGTCATCCGTTCTCGTAAAGTATAACCAAACTTTTGAGCGTTTGAGCCGCTTACGCGCCCTGCCAGGTAAATGACGCTCCGCAACATGATGACGTCATTCGGGGCGACTGGAATCGATAAGGGAATCGTTTGCAAAAATGGCAAACAATTCCAAGGAATTGAAACAGTGGGAACCGGTTCTCAAAAGAACCGGTTTTCGATACCCATCCCTATGTGTGATACAATGACTGGAGAACACTTTGATGATGGTTGCAGGCAGAAGCATTTATAAGTGTCAGTATCCTCCTTTCCCAGTGACTTACTGTCACCAATGACATATTTCCTAATTTGAAGTATGAATCAAGTTCCCAGCAGGGTCATAGTGCAACAGTAGTGACACAGCGTGAGTCAGCTGTAGACACAAGTGTAGCCTGAGCAGTTTTGTTGTTTTTAGGTGTGCAACTACTGCTGAACACTTCAGCTTGAGCTCGACTCTCAGAGATACCTGGACTTGTCTTAGTGTTGCCAACACATGGGATTACTTTACCAGTGTTATCAGGGTATGAAAGATGTGTACCTGTAATACTGGAGACACTTTTATATGACACAGTTATAGTCGGACAGAAATGGATGGATTTTGATTAGTTGCCGGCTTCACACGAATCAATATGACTGTTGATAGTATTATTACAAATATATCCAACAGAGTAATTGTAAAGGTGTCCCACAGCCTGTTTCACAGCAATGGTTGTGCAGCGGTCTTTGATCACGTAGGCCACAGGCACCGTACAGCCGCGCTCTGTCCACCTGACGTAGTTTGAGATTTTGCTTTAAGAAAGACGTTTTTCATGCAGCTGCACGTCTCTTGTCAGTTCAGCTTCTCTCTGTGTTCCTCATTCATCACTCCATATCTGCTGCTGTGTGGTTTCACAATCACCAAATATTTGAGATTGGCTTCTTGCAGCCTGAAACATTGTGCTTGAGAACCTCCTGCTCTGGATGAGTACTGAGAGTACTTTATTTATTTATTTCCTGTAAATCAGACGTTTATCTGTTTATTGGATTATTATTTAGGTACAAGGGGCAAAATCCCATCACTAGATATCAGTACATAGCAGATTGGCAGTGAGTGTATGCTGTCAGTCTGCGGTTTACCTCAGCTATCAATATGTGTCCACGTCTGTCTGCCCTGAAGGAGGCTGTAAAACTCTGGAGTCAGTGAAACTGTCCAGCGACAGCGATACTGAGCACTGCTGTTTTTGCAGCTGTTAGCTGACAGTGGCTCTAACATCACTGGAACTCTCATACGATACGAGTGTATTCAAGCTGTTTGTCAGAGGAAGAGTGTGATTCTCAGGACTCAAGCCTGACATAATGTTAGCTCCGAATCAGATGTTGTTGTTTGGCTGCTCACGTTCAGGTGTGTCAGCTCACATGGATGATTTACTGCCAGTCAGTAACTTGTAAATATGGGGAATAAATGAAGATGTTTACGCAGTGATTATGCTGATCAGGCTGACTGACTCGGATATTTGTTTTAAACAAATAAACAAACAAACATTTTTGTGTGTGTGTGTGTGTGTGTGTGTGTGTGTGTGTGTGTGAGTGAGTGTGTGTGTGTGCATGTGCATGTGACAGAACTC